ACAAATCTGCCGGGTTCTGTAAGGTTTTTCAATATCTGTAGTTTATAAACACAATGTGCATAATAACATGCAGCTTTTTGCTGTATACACAGCTCCCATGCATACACACTGAACCTTCTGATGAAGTCTAATCATCATAGTCTTGTCTATTTATGCTTTCATTCCATTTAAAATTTTCATTAGTACTGTCAACTGGGTTATAAAAATTACAGTAATAATTTTCAATATAATTGAGATAGGTTTTCCTGAGATTAGTACTTTTTTTGAATTAATAATAATAACAATAATAATTTTTATTTTAAAACTAATTCTAATGTTGCAGTGCTGCAGGAAAGAATAACCATTAATTATTGCAATCCAAAGCAATATATTGCTAAAACTAATGGCAAATTTTTAGTTAAAGACTGTACTTGCATAATCTTATGTAAATTTGAAGAAAAATATATTTACTTCTTGGCTCTTTCAGCTTCAGAATTGTTGCATGAATTTAAATTATAGCTAACAGGGGAATGCATTATGCGTAATTCTGAGTTTTAAATTGATCAGAAGTTTATTTAGGGGAATGTGATTTTTATTCTTATTTTTAGATACGGTTAAAGTTCAAAGTGGTTTATATAACCTACAGGAAGAATAAACATTACATGCTTTGAGGAAAGGTGAATGTAAAGGTTTTTAACTCCCCAGTGTTGATTGATGGCATTAGTGGATCTGGGATAGACTTGCATCTTTGCAAGGTCATGCCTGTCATGGTTTACCTTCATGACAGTATTCCAAATAATCCTAGGAAAATGTACAGTAGGGAGCTTGTCTGTTGATTCAAACATATTACCCATTATTGAGTGTTACTTATTAGGAGTTTTTATAAAGGTGTAATAAATTTAACTTCTAGCTAGCTGAAAGGAAGTAGCCCCAGGGGATATCAACAGAAAGTGCGGGAGACTACTTTGATTGCAGGCTGGAAAGGAAGTGACTCAGGATGCTTTGAAGAAAGTGAGGCATATAAATAAGAGAAGGCTCATGTGCAACCAGAGTGAATTTCCTAAACATTTGATCTCTAAATGCTTTTTCTCTGTATTTTTTTTTTTTCCATTCATACCTTTCTAGAGTATTACATAGTGTAGAAACATCTCAGAGGATGTAAAGTCTTACAGACAAGGAGTTTTTGGACTTAAATTAATATTAGTTCTATTAATTGAAATGAATACTTGGAATTTACTTCGAATATTTTTATTCTTTTTCCAAACTTCTTCCATATTTCCCTTCACGAGGAACATCCTCAAGAAAGCCAGTTTCAAGGCACTATTACATGCCACTAATTTTAGCTAGAAGTGGAATATGTGACTGATTCCTGCAGCCAGTCCAAGATTTTGATGTTTTTTGGATCTCTCAAACTGTATTTTGGATTGCAGAACCAGACCAGTGTTTAAAAGTTACTTTTCATCTGCTGAGTTAGTTGGCATAAAATTTATGGAGAATAGCGCAAGGTAATAAAAACATGCTAAAGAGGCTTCATCCTGTTGATGATGAAATTGCTGTCTTCTATTAACATCCCTTAACCCAGATATTTCAGTTCTACATTTACAGAATTGAGTGTTGGGCATGAGGGGTGAGCATCCAAAGATAGAGATCAAGTAAAGATTTTCTAACTTCAAGAGAAAAATGTAGTCTTTAGAGAAGGAAAACTAATAGGCAGCATGTGTTTCTGATGTTGTTCAAGTTTTTCCCAGAAATTACTTCAAATTACCTATTTGCCATAGAACTTTAACAGTTGTACTTCAAATCTTAAAAAAATGGTAGATAAAATATAGTTATGTTTTATCATCCTAGTAACTCTCATTTTGATTATCTAAATACCAAACACCTAACCAGCAGGAGCTATGCCTTTTTTTCCACTTGACTGAAAATGTGCAGTTCTTAAAGTGCCTAATTAATTCCATAGGCTCTCAAATTTCTGCCTGGATGTCCACAGCAGTCTGTATTTCAGCAAGGTAGACATAGATATGTTCCAGCTCAGCCCCTTTGGGATTCTTGTATGAGTCATCTCCGCTTTCTTCTTGCTCAGAGCAGGTCCAGAGTATCAATAAATAAGTGAGCTTCTCAGAAAACAACCATCCAACTGCTTTCCTTGAAATGAGTAATTGGAAGAAGTGGAGGTAGTGGGGATGCTTTTTTTGGGAGATTGCTGTTTACTCATTCAGGAAGTGGAAAAGTTGTGATTTATTGCAGCCTAACCAGCTAAAATCACAGGAATGAAGTAGGTTTGTGGTTGGAAGGGACCTCTGGAGGTCATCTTGTCCAACTCCTTATCAAGCAGTGTCATCTAGAACCACATGCCCAGGATCATATCCTGTTGGACCAGCTGTAATTGATGCCATATACCCAGGGGAGCTGGATGTTTGTTTTTGACTGCTTGAAATCTCTAGCAGTCCAGCTCCTATAAATAATGGTCCCAACACAGGCCCAGATCTGGGTCAAACACAGTGTCAGATATCACCCTCCAAAATAACTATCATTTGCACTTGGTTTCTAATTTAGATGGTCCACACAGGCTGCCAATGGTCTCATTGTTCACATCACCCCAGGCCAACAGCTTTGATTCTTTCTGTGTCTGAAGCCAATTATCTCTTGTTATCTGGGTTGCTATCATCCTGACCATTTTACACAAATATTAATTAAGTTTATTCAAGCTGCTTCATTTCCTTTCTGTGCATACCTAAACCCTCAGAGGCTGGGCAGAGGTAGTCCAGAGGTTTTGGGTTCTCTGTTCATGGTTATCTCAGCAAATAAAAGAATCATCTAATGAGTTAGAGCTGAGCAGACATACTCTACATCTCACTTATTTGTGTGGTGCTTTCAGACAGGTTTTGCTCCTGAATAAACAACTGAAAAGCCCAGGGAGAAATGCACTAGGAACCTCTTTTTTTTCCAACAGACTGTTGCTATGGATGACCTTTCTAAAGTAAAAATATTTAACCATCAGATTTTGTAGATTAATTGGCCAGGACCAAATAAATAATGAAGGAGAGCCAACAGTAATTTTCAACAGTGATGTGCTTAATGACAGTATATTTTCAACAATAAATTCTGGGGATTGTGGCTTTGAGGATTGGCAAATTTTTTACATTTCATACAACATCATTGTCAATTCCAACATATTCATTTTTATTTAGAATTTCATGTTTATTCCTGCTTTTGTTAATACATTATCTTCTCAACATCAGGTGTGTTGACTGATCTTTTTCAGCCAAGCAAGAAGAGTAATTTTTTGTGTGATAAAATGTGAGTTCATATTTGAGTAGTAAAGAATTATCTATACTGTATCTATTAAGTAACATTTAATTCCACCCAAAACCACACTGTTTCGAGTGCTGAGGAGTGGAAAAAACTGAATCAGGGAAGCTGACTGTGCCAAGAATTCAAGTGATTTTTTTCCATCAGCTTTTCCAGTTTAAAACAATTTTTCTATGTTTTCACAAGTTTTAACCTCTTACTTGTCTTTACAGTGGTGAGTACACCAGACATGGACATAGTACACCAGAGTCTGACAGGAGCTGAGTGCAGGGGTGAAATCACCTCCCTTTGCTCCTGGCCATGCTCTTTTTGTAAAGACCAGCATACATTTCTGGACTACAAGCCGTCTCATTTCCAGCTTTTTGTCTACAAGTATCCCCAAGTACTTCTCCACAAATCTGCAATAAATTCACCACCCAGTCTGCATTGACATCAGGCATTACTTTGACCCATGTGCAGGACCTTGTGTCTTCTCTCAAGTATATAGCATATTCCCTAAGGAAGCAAGTGATTCTTCTTTTCTTTCTATCCTAAGTTTCCTTGAAGAAAGTATGAAAGAACATTGGGAATTCATCACAATTTCAGATATGCATCTCTCATAAAAGCACCTGACCTTTAATTCACTCTTTGATTCCTCCCAGGACACTATTCTTAATATATGTAATTAAGACAGACAGTAAACTACAAATCCTATGTAATGAAATACTTGAGCATAACGTTAACTAAGAAAGAACTGAGATGAGTATCTTTAAAAACTTTAAAATCAAATCTAGAGATGTCAATAGCACCTAGTCTAAGCATTTCAATTAATAACAGATTTCCTATGTGCCAATAAGTATACTCAGAATTATTTTTTTAAAATCAGTATCAGCTGTGACCATTACAGACCATGTTTTATTGTCCAAATTGACACTAATGTTAGGAGTCAAAATACTTTTAAAGAGAAACCTCTTGACATAAACTACTCTTCTTCATTACCAGATATAAGTAGTCGTACTACATTACTTCATTTTTCCCCAAATTTTAACACTTTAGCCAAACAAGGTATTTTCACATAAAAATACATATTTGACAGGTTGTCATACAAAATGTTCTCTGTTTTACCTACAGCAGTCTGAGCATTTCTTAATATTTTGCAGATATTTTGGAATATCTGTCTAAGGGTTAATAAACTTCACTAAACAAAATCTTGTACCTTGAGATCAATTGGTGTTTGATGGATGAGGGCTTTCAATCTGAAGTAAAAGTAAAAAGAAATGTTAATGAAACAGTGTTTATTTCTATGTGGTGGTGAGGGAGTACATGTTAGGCTTACAAAATAAAGTCCAATTCCCTATCCAGACGCACAGCTCAAGTCAAAATTGATGTGAATCACAGCTGCATGAGAAAACCTTTCTTTCCTGTCTTACTGCGAAACACATCTGTTCTTGTTTCAGCTGTGAAGTCACAGCTGTCCCCAGTGCGGGAGAGTGGGTAATTGAGCTGAATGACTCAAAATCTCCCCTTTTGTTCAGTCCTGTGGTGCTGAGCACGCACAGGCACTTTCCACCCTAATTCATCTTCTTCAGTATTGGCAGGTTTCCTATGTAATAAACTGTCCCCAGTCACTCTGAGATTTCGTTCCCCCCCTCCTCTTTTTCTGTCCTTCACATTTTCATGGGCTAGCCCCATATTCTTAGTTCTTTTTCTTCTTTGTTTGGCTCTGGCAGGTGAGAAGCCAGGGACGGAGCAAGATGAAGTTAAGCTGCAGATTGCCAGCAAGCAGATTGTGCAGACTGCTATCCTCCGAGCAGTGCAACAAGTTTCCCAGGAGAGCCAGCAAAAGGAGAAGCGAACAAACACCAGTACAAGCCTCCAACTAGAAAGAGGAAAACTAACCAAGAAGCATGAAAAGAAGTAAAGGAGGAGATTGGGGTTTTTCAGCTCCAGTCTGCAAGTGTTTTCAGCCTTCTCTTTAGTATCAGCTGTATTGCTAGTGCAATGCTACTGCTGTAAAGCAAACCAAAGTATTACCACACCTAGACATAGGGTAAAACTGCAATAGTCCTCATCTGAGAAATATTAAGTGCATTAGATGACTGACTCCATATTTATGCAGTGCCTCTTAACAGAAACAATAACCATAGCTGTAAAAGTAGTTTCAAGCACAAGCTCTTATGATATGAGCTTATTCTCAAAAGCTTGTTGCCAGTGCACTTTCATGCTAAGTTCTGCGTGCAACATTTACGTCAGTTCAGCTGGACAGACTCCTCTCTGCATTACTGGGCTCACTGAAGCTGTCTTTGCTGAAGAAATCATTTATTGTCAGGTGTAGCAGAGTGCTTTCAGGCTCTCTTGAAGCACGGGTTTGTACTTTGCTTTGATTAGACATGAACTATGTGAAATGGCGGTATAAAATGGATTTGGTAAATTCTGTGAACCAGTTTATTGTTTCATCTTGGGGAAAAAAGAAAGCAATCCAGTAATACTGCAGTGACTGTGATCTATGACTATGATCATATACCTATGATCTATGTCTTTTTTTAAAGAAGTTAAGTACTGAAATTTTAGACTACTTATTGAAATACTTCTATACTTCTGCATAAAAATCACCTGTGCCTCAACTATTCCTTTTAATTTTCTTGATATTGAAAGAAAAGGAACAGATGTGAAGATAAGGAGTCGGCCAGAATTTGCTCCAGTTCTGCAACTTTGCTGGGTCTTGATTTACAGAAAGTGAAGACTGAAGTGTTTTTTTAAAAAAGGGGGTTGAATATATTAATATCTTCAAGGATGAAAATATACAGTATCTGAATTCTGTCATGGTAGGTATTTCTCACCTGCTGGGTGTAAAGTGACTTTAGATATTTGCAGTTGTTACATATTCAACTTAAATAACACTGCGTGAAGCTGGTAATACAGAGCTTATCCTTTCAACTGCTCTATATAGCTGAAGAAATCCATGATGTTTCTGAAAATACAATTTAAATAAATGTGCCCTTCACTTTTATTGCTCCCTTTGTGTAATGATGATTGCACTATTATACATATGAAATGAATAACAGTATATTTAATTCTAGAAATGGCTTGTAGCTCTGCTTCAGATGAATTCCTGTAGTAATACACCTGGAATTACAAAGAAGAAGATGTCCTGAAAAACTTTCTTAATGGCTTTTCTACTCCACTAGATGATCCTCAAAGAGACTGTGGGTTAAATAATTGGCTATTACTCTGTCCTATTGCTTGTGTTAAACGATTTTGGGATTCCTTCTCCTGGACAGAGGCTTAGTCATGAATAACCACATATTGTAATATTAAGTCTTTGTAATCTACTTGGTTTATTTTTTTTTTCTTTTTTTTTTTTAATTTAATAGCACTAACTCATACAAGATAGTGATTTAGCTCAATCCTCTTTCACTTAAAAATGCAAAGAAGAATTCAACGTGATTGAAAGTGTTCCTAATTGTCTAGTAATGAAAACTGACCTGGATTCCAAGTACACAGGTGGTTCACTTCTGTAGACACTGGATGAATTTTTAGTCAAGCAAACTTTGAAAGGTGAAAGTAGTTGGGTCTTGAGGCATGTATGCATTTTTGTAATAGTATATTTTTAACCATTAGCTTTTTCACCAGTTCACCTTTGTTTGGGAGGTAACTCTTTTCTAAGCGCTCTTTGCATTTTTCTCTGTGAGACCCTAAGAAAACTGATCATGAATAAAGATTCAGTTCTGAGGCTGATGAGCAGACAAGTCTGGTGGATGAGAGAGAGCAAACTTGTTGGAGAGACTCTGTGGTGCAAAAAGGTGTTTGCCATGGACTCACCATGCTGCAGGAAGGAGAGATATAGAACATCTCCACTTCTTTGAAATTATTTTACTTTTTAAATGCTTTTCATCCCCAGACATTTGAAATATGTTTGGGTTTGGGGTTTTTTGTTTTGGTTGGGTGGGTTTTTTTTGGTGTGTTTTGTTTTGTTTTTTGTTAATTGATAATTATGTTAATAACCTTCATATAGTTTTGAAACTGTTTCTTTGTATGCCTTTTTTTAAAGTTTTAATTAATCATTTTGGCAAAAGAAGAATTTGAAAAACCAGTGAATCTGGGCTTTTGCCACTGCTTCATATGAGCCTATTCCACTCCTCCTCCCACTGTGCACTTCTACAATATGCCTTTACTGTCCCTTTGCTATTGCCCTAGTCCTATTAGACACACTATTTATTACTCAGATGTTTAATAGTCATGTCCAACATTGTCAGAATACCAATGCCATCAGAAGTCTAATATCTTGAAAAATCAAAAATGGCTGGAAGTCTCGGCTTGTTATATGCTTATTAGACATTCTCATGAAGTAATGTGTGCTCATGAGGTTTGTAGTAATGGATGCATTATCAGCACAAAAACCCCACATATCTTAGAAATACAAGGCAATCAAAAAGGTATCTATAAGTATTTAAAACAAACTCACCACTTATTAGCACTTACAGTGGTAAGTAAAATATTGTACAAATATGTGAAATTATATTTATCACAACTCCAGAAGAACAGAGGAATCATGTGTGTGTGGCTATCCTGCACTATGCTTTCTATGTTGTCATTCAGGTTGATTATAACAATTTTATTATCATATTGCACTCTTTGTAAGATTAATAAAGCAACGATGCCTAAATGGAGATTCACATGGCCACAGCAGGATGTTGTAACAGATTACTAAATGCCACTGTATATCAAGTTTTTGGTCCTGTGTGGTTGCACTGGAAATCTCTGCTCTAAAATAAATAAAACCAACGACTGTGACTTGGAAACAGCCATATTAATTTTATCATTTCAGAAAATAAAAAAAACATTCTGTGATAATATTATGAGTTGGAAATTCTTGGATGTTTATTCAATAGCAAGCAATCACCTAGAAGTGTTACTGACTCTGCTCAAGTCATATATGATTATTTTTTATGTGTCTCAGACTACAGTATGTCTACAATGGTAAGAATATAAAACTGCTATGTAACTATTCTTAATATGAGTACCATGAAATATGCTGCAGATGTTCTTTCATGTGTGCCTATGTCAAATACACAGTTAGTGTGTGATTACTGTAGGCTTTAAAAAAATAATTTAAATTAATGGAAAATATAAAAGGAAATAAAATAAATTCTTGAAAATATATGGGATACACCCATTCCCTTGGTTCACTCAGGTCTGAGAAGAAATTCGATTAATGAAAACCTGACTCTTGACATAATTTTTCACAACGGTTCCTGCAAAACAGGATCAAGTTGCCAAAACAATTTGTGGGAGTGGTGGGGAGAACCTGAACTATTGGTAAATGTCTTCTTCACTGCTTCAGTAAGGAGTGAGCAGCAGTACTAATGGGCCTGAAGAATAGGTTTTCTCTTCATTATGTTTTGGTGCCTCATGGTATGGTCTGGCAGAATCTTTTTCCCTATTTTGGATAATAGGTTTTTAATTTGTGATATATCCTGCTGTTCAAAACAAGTACAAGTAAGATCTCTATTCTTTGCTTCCAGAACCTCATTCACAACACCAGGTGGACATGCCTGAACTTTTGTTTTTAAAGATCATCTTCCATGGATTTAGTCAACATGCCCAGTGATTTCTTTAATCCCTAACACTGAGTGAGCACATATATTATCTATGTGCTCAGGGAACACCAAGAAATAGATACATATTTTAACTTCATTTGCTTCTAAGCTGTTCTTGTCTGCCAGGCAGATTTTCTTTGTTTAATTAACATAAGCAGCTTTTCTTTTCTCATCACTTTTCCTCCAGTGACTTGCTACTTGGATTTTGTTATGCGAGCTTGCTAGTTTTAACATTAAAACAACAATAGTTCACATTTATAGTTTGGATTTCATTAGAACCTTGTGGTGTTACATGTTTCATTTTGTTGTGTTTTTCATCTTTTTTTTTTCCACTAAAGATGAGTAACAATAAATGATGTTCTAAAGAAAAGGGAGTTTGTGTGGGAGTTGTAGTTGTGTTAGCATTTTGTGGCTTGCTTTTTTCTCCTTCTGTTACCTCTAGCAGAAGACCACATGGGGCAAACCATCATGAATCATTCACACACACCATGACAGTAGCTCAATGTAGAACTTGCACAGAAGGAGAGAAAATTAACTCTTACATCAGCTGAAAACTGAATCCAGTTATTCTAAGCTGATTCTAAAATGTTAGAGCAAGACACTCCTGATAGCTTTAAGGAAAATATTCCATGTGTGCTTTGAGAGTTGAACCCCATTTAGAAACACCAGCTAGTGAAGACTGTAATTGCTTGCTTTGTGGTATGAGGGGGAAATGAGTACTACTGTATTGTTCTGAAGACTTAAATACTACTTCTTTGTGTCTGTTGAAGATTTTGAATTGTGTCTTCGGTGAGGTGACCCATTTCCTCCTGCCCTGTGGAGCGAATTAGCTGCCCTTCTGTGTGCATGTGCATCCCAGAAGGTTTAGCTCCTGTCTTCAGTTGCTACAGTAGATGCCCTTGCCTTGTATTTGCTTAGTAAACATAACTCCTACTAATGCTGTTCCCCCTCATTTCTTTCCCATGAAGCAGCTCATTCTAAAAATCCTCAGCTACAAGACTAACTGTAGAAGCCATCTGCTTCTAGAAATGGGAGAGTGAATGTAATAAATCTTCTTTGCTTCATTGGAGGGATATTGGCCCTTTCCCACATCTCCCTGTATGTGTTTATTTCCAAGGAGGACAACTCTGTTAGCCAATGCTTCTTGCTATCACTGGCTGATGTTTTACCCATAAAGTTTAGCCAAGTGATCTTCAATATTTCCTTCCAAGGAAAAACTGCTCCAGGAACAGAGTTTGCCCTGACTTGTCACAGTTTATTAGACCCAGCTGACTTCAGCTGATGACATACATGATTTGCTTTTTTATCCCCTATAGTACAGGAGCAGACTTTCAGTTCTTATATCTACATTGCTGAGGATCTGATTGTTTTCTTGGTACTCCACCAGCTGAAAAAGTTTATATATGTTCATAAAGTAGAACTTAAAGTAAAATTTTTCAGATCTTGTAATTCTTCCCATCATATTTCCCAGAATCATAAATACTTTTATACAACTAATATGCTTTACTGAGCATTTCACTTGCTAAATCTACGGGCAGGAACAGTAAGTCTTGTTGTCCTCCTGTGTTTTGATCACTGAGAACTGCAGGGAGTGTCAGAGCTGCACTGTTTACCCCAATGACCCTCTCAGTACTGAGCTGCTTTTGTGGCTCTTTTCACCTAACTTCTTTATTTTTATGTATTCACTTCCAGAAATCAGTCAAACCAGGAGACCCACAAACCAGGGATATCTGAGACACCAGTGGTGCAAGAACCAAGTGTGTCCCCGCATCATTCTCAATTTTATAGCTTTTCAGGGTCAAGAAACATTAACAGTCCAATTAACATGGACTAGTTACAAGGTGATCAGTCAAAGGTTGAACTCAAAAATCTCAGAGGTCTTTTCCAACTTAAAGGATTTTGTGATTCTGTGAAATCAGCCCCAGGTCATACCTCCTTCTGGTAACTAGCTGAAGGAACACAAGGCTTGAATTCTCCATTTTTTTTTCAGCACTTAAGACACTGGGATGCAGCCAAGTGAAGACCTGTTTCTGTTCAGGAGGTATACAAACTCCTCCTTCTAGTTGCTAAAGGTGGCTTCAAAGATCACTGCCTGTATCAGGTGACAGCTTGCTCATCACTCTGCTCAGAGGAGCTGAGTGTATGAGAAAGCAATATCTCAAGCTGGGCTCTGAGGAATAACACTTATCAGAAGACCCTGGGCTTGGACATGATCAGGGTAGGAGTACTCCTCCACAAGACAAAGAGAAACAAGACCCTCCTTCTGGGGGACTGTGTTGGTCTTTTGTTTGATTTTGTTTCATTTAAAAAACTTAAGGCCTTGAGTGCCCCATGATCACTACCTCACTACCAAGCAGGAAACAAACACAGTACACTAGCAAACAAGTTGGAAATTCAAGGTGACTCTTCAGGGTAAGTTACCTCAAAAAAAATCATTTTCTTCTAGTCCAAAGTGGTAACTTGACCACTGCTTTGGTAACTTGACTTGTGCCTTCAGACTTTCCCCTTTTTCCTTATAACGTAAGGAAATACTGATTTATGTAGGGTAAAGTTAACCCTCACTGTTTGGTTATTTTTGGCTTTTTCCCTGCTTATTTTTTTCTTTAATTGGCTGTACTTTTATCTGTCAAGGTCACTTTAAAAATCTTTTTTATCTGAAAAAGATGAATAAAAAAAAAAGGATTGGGTTAGTCATGTAGTCTCTGTTTTAATCTCTGTGTTCCAGTATATCTGAGGCAACATATCTTTCCTCGATTTAGGCAAAATCCTCTTGATTTTTTTGCATCTTTCGTTCTCTAACAATTTGCCCTGTGGCTGTGTTGTGTATAGAAGTAGGATCTAAAACCACTGCCACATTAGAATTTTGAAGCTGTGAAAACTGATATGATGTCATATATACTAAGACATTACTTCCTAGAAAAAATTCCTTACTCCTGGAAATCAGATTACACAACTCCATCTGCCCTGGTAAGAATTAGATTAACATCTATTTTGCCTCCTGGCAGGCTAGAAGACTTTTTCTTTCTTTCCTTTTTTCTCCCACCCTTTTCAAATATCTGCATCTGAGGCTATTGACATGATTATTTGGAAAGCTAAACATCCAAGCAGGGAGCAGGGTGAGAGTCTGTGGATTAGGATCCCAGCTGAGGTGAGGGGACTGCATATGGAGCTGACGACATGTAAGTCCAGGGTCTGCATGCCCTGCAACATGGAGGTACAATAATAAACAGCCCGTAACAGATTATGATGTCTGGATTCTACAGCTTTCAGAGTGCAGATGGTGATGCTGTCAGGAAATATCAGCCCTCGCTCTCTGAATGTCTGTCACATTTCATTAGGGCGCCCAGATGACTGTTTCCTCCACTGCTGAGGCTCGACAACAGATAACAAATGAGTTCTGCTGGTAATTGCCACGTTCCTTATTATTTTGTGATCACTTCATTTCACTCAAGCACCCATATCTACAGAGGCAAAAAATGCTTTCACATAGGAATTTTCATGTTGTTGGTGACAGCAAATGTGTCATCACACAGGGAGACACCAAATGCTATGCAGAAGGCCAAAAGAAACCCATTTTCCTCTCAGTATGTCTCTCTAGAGGAACAACAAATCAACCTAAGGCTTCAGTGTACATTTGCAGACACCTACAGGAGACAGACAGCTCCTCTTTGTTTTGCGACTGTCACTTTGGGTATTAGACTATACTGTGTCTCTCCTGCTGTCATTTTGCCTCTACCTTGGACTGAGACTCCAACACTGGAGTCACATGGAGAACAACAGGGTTATAAACAGACATGATGAAGCCATGGTTTTGGCCTAGCTACACAAAAGCAGAGCTAAAAACTCTATTTCCTATCCAGTATTTCTGTATGCTGTAATGAAGCAACGGGGCTGGTGGCCCTGGCCTCCTCTGGTATATTTCCTTCCTTATCAAAATATAAAAGGATACCACCAGGCCACCAACACCGAAAGGAACAGGAAAAAAAGTCAAAAATGGGCACAGAAAACCCTTGAAAATATCAATCCAAACTCTGATGGGACACTAGAACTACAGGGATGCTTTGAGGAAACCATTTTCCTACAGATTCACCCTACAAATCTTTATTCCTTTATAACATAAATCATGGTATGTTTTTGAGGTAAATGAAACAGCAGTCTCTTTTGGGAAAATAAATTACTTACCAACATAAACTTGCCCAGACCAGAGTAGATCCTCACTATCAGTCATTCTTGCCTACTTTATGTGTGCATTATACATGGAAAAAAAGTCCCAAACCCCAAATAGAGTAATTTTGCTGTAAACACTCTGTGATAGCTCAAATCACACCCCCATCCATTTTTTGGGGTTAGGGTTAATGCATGAAAGCAGAAAGCCTGTGATGTGACATGAAACCCACAACTGTCAGGCTGTCAGAATTGTTTTCACAGTCAACTCCATCCCAAAAGACTTGTACACTGCTCCTCGTTGTTGGTGGTTTTCTGACTAGCTTTCTGCTTGTATTTGTGGGAGAGAGAGACAGGTTGGTGC